CCAGAGATACCAAATCTGGTGTGGAAATGAGAGAAACAACAGATCTAATTTTGCAGAGCATAACAAATGTAAACAGCCAAACTTTGGTACGAGCAGTGCCGGGTTCTTTCGCTGTGATTCTCACTACCTGAAGATAGGCAACATTTAAATAAAACAGAAGAATTAAAACAATGGAGAAAGCTCCCAAAGGCCCACTTGCTAGGTGGTGGCAATAAAAGGGAACCTAGAAGACAGAAGGACCTGGTAACCTCTTAAAGTATAAAAATAATCCCTGTTTGCAGTTACATACGCACACAGAACAGGTACCACTTCTTCATTTCCAGAATGAGCAGTAACAGTCAAATTAAGAAGGGACATTTGCATCTCCAAGACAATTTGCTGTCACTGTGTACGAAATAATCTTTAACACAGTAAATATATGACGTAGGAGTTGTGTAATACATATATTTCATATTTGTGAGAAGATCCATGAGTAGAGCTGCTTCAACTGTAGCTTTGCTTTCACTGCAGAAGAGTACAATGGGGTTCAACCATCATTTAAGATGGATAACAAATACATAACGGGCAACAAAAATCAACTTGTGTTTTATAAGCTAAAACTAGGTTTAAAATGGAGATTATTGTCGAGGGAAATAAATTAGCAGAAATTAACAATTTGGGTTAGACTCCCCAAAACCTACTCAGCTATCAGCTCGCTGAATGGATCAGCTAAAATTGGAAAAAGTGGATTACATCTTACATGACCGATCATTTATCTAGCTCTCTTTTCATAGCGCCTTACAGCACATGCTGCAGGACATTCCTGATTCATCCCTTTCTGCCAAAACAATTAAGATTTTTTTGTCGTGTATTTCCAAGACTCAAAACCCAAGTACAGTATTACATTAAGCTGACAAATCACAACATAGGCTATCGAAACCCTGAGCACTCCCTCCAAATAACAGGTCTGGTTTTTATATCAAAATAGAATTATTAAAAAAAATATATATATATTTCCAAACGTACCATACATTATATACTGCTGAGTCAGACAACATCTGAAGTACTACATCCAACCGTGCCAAGCCACGGGCCTTGGCCAAAAGCCAAGCTGAAACAATGCGGTAAGACAAACGGACAACTGACCTTTAACCATTTCTAGCAAACTTTTTCCCCCTTCCCTCCCAAGGAGAATCCCCATTAAAGAGTGACAGCAGAAAGGTAACTGCTCCTCAAAGCAAGGCTCTGGACTGTGACCGACCAGCAAAACTTCTTCCCCCTTTCAGATTCCCCTCCTCTTTCATGGCTTCTCTCAGCTCTTGTCCTTTCTTAAACTTCCCTAATGGTCCTTATCCCCCACCACAAGCTTAAGTACTAGGAATGATTTCAAATGTAACAAGAGAAGCCATAACACTGCCAGTGGGGCCCAGTTCTTGTAAATTCTGGCTGCAGGCTCAGAGAAAAGGCACACAGAAACCCCTGCGTCGCTGTGTTGTTTCTCATTGTCCTTCACTCCCCCCACAACAAGACACATCTCCAGGAAGTCAGAGGAATTAAAGATGTTGAGTGATGGATTTAATGTATATACCACGCAAGAGTCCTACAAGTGCGTGTTGCTAAAATAATTTCCTTGAATTTTAACAGTTTTCACCGGTGTAATAAATCACAAATAACATCCCATCAGAGACAGGCACCATCAACCCCCCTAATTCTTCAGTGAAGCATTTACCAAATGCTTCCAGCCCGTTTCACTCCTCTTTCCAGATGCTGCCTCACTTCTTCTGTTAAAGAAAATCTAAGGCAGATTTTCTCAGTTGGCTTACTTTTTTCCTCTCTCTCTTACTCTACGCACCTTCCCCTTCGGTCGCTGCACTGTGATCGATGGCAGCTCGCTCGCTCCGAGGGGGGAGACCTCGCCAAGGCAGCCCCAACGCGGCCGTCCTGCCCTCTCGGAGCTTTGCTGCTGCTCGGGCAGATCTGGAGGTTCGCTGCCGAATCGCCGAGCTGCAGCTCCAAGCGCTGCACACCAGCACAAGCGCTGGCAGGCTCTTCTACAGCCCCGAGATACCGACAGCAATTTATCGACTATTGCTGATTCCTTCACATGGAACAAATTTCAGAATTTGTTTGTAATCTGCTCATTAACTTCAGAGCAACTCCTACCACTCATAGGAAAATTGATTAGTTTTCTCAGTCCTGATTATCACTTGTCTCATTAGAGGCAGCATGCTGCGCTATCCTTAGAAGCAAAATCACTCAAAAATTGCATGACTTCAATTCAGGACTGCGTGTCTATAAAGAGACATTACACGCTTTCTGTTAAAACAGACAGATTAAATGCCAGGGCAGAACTGCAGCTTCTCTTTACGTATGTTTAGTATGTAATTAATGTTGTGAATACTCAAATAATTCTACCGACACCAAGAAATATTTCCTACTGGAGATTAAAGTTTAGCAGTTCTGAATTCTTAAAATCCCAGCCTTCACCTCAATCAGTACTAAAAGAAAAAAGACCACAGGAACCTGGCAAGGGAGTCCTTCCTTTGTTTCTAAAACAAATGCCAATTTTGTTAAGACTTCTGTAAGACAAACAAACAAATCCACAATACATCACCTTAAACTAACCCAGTTTAGACCAAATATTTCTGACAAGGTTCAGGAAGAGAGAGAATTCAGGACACATTAGTATCTCAGGCATTTTAAAAAGAAGATGGAGTGGCCTCTATTTTATGGGGAAAAAAAAATAAAGCAAACCCAAATGACACTGGGTTTAGAATTGGACTTTGTAGTTTTAGTGTGTAGAAATCCTCGGGATGTAAGAACAGCTTCCACTAAGGCTAGAAATAATGACTTTTTATGCAAAGCTCAATGAAGGGCCGCCCCAAAATTCTTTACACATTCCTTAAATTAAGAAAAAAAAAAGTCCATTATCTTAAGGCAAAAGCAAGCCATGTAAGACAACCCTGCAGGAAGCAAGAACACAATCACGTGCAGAACACAATCAGGCTGCCGAGGATGCTCCCTGGCCGGCAGCGGGAGCTCCGCCGCGGGCCCTGCAGCTCCCCCAGCGCGCCTGCCCACCGCTGCCCCAGCGCAAACACACCCAGCACGCTCCTCCACATCGCTCCAGAAGAGCGACGATAACATCTCGCACTGCTGGCCTCCTTACTCTAGGATCAGACGCAGTCCGTACACATTAGCAGCTGGAGTGGGTTTTCCAAAAGCACAGCCGTCTATAAAAAGGGTATTTATGAGATGCCCCAAAAGCCAGACAAACACCTACGTGTGACCATTCACATAGGAATGCACTCGGTTCTACCTAAATAGTTCTGTAAAATAAAAAACAAGGCATCAACTTGACAGAAGTATTCTCAGAAGTGGTGTCGCCATTATCTGTGAGGAATCTGCTTACTCAGTCACCAAAAATCACCTCCCAAACCCAGAAATACTTCTTGCTTTGATACACGTTTTACAATGATTGCCATTAAAGATATAGCAGGAGCAAAATATTACTAAAAACCCCAAACAACAAAACCAAAACCACCCCCAAAAAACCCATGAAACAAATTAAAAACAACATGGAAGTTGGACTGATTATGCAAAAAGTTAGCACAAAGGATTTCTACTCTGTCAAAATAAATGATAGGGCACGTTCAATATTCATACACCAAAGTGGAATTTATCCAAATTCTGATTTTCCTTTCCAAATTCCTTACACTACAAATTGCTTTAAACATTTCGAAGAAAAAAAAAATCCACATCTTCACTGCAAAAATCGAAAGCTATGGAAGAAATCTAGAATGAAAGCAAGTTAAAAGTTGTCTTCCTGAAACAAAGGACAAACTCTCACACACTTCATTCCAACCATGGGAAAATGGAGCAAATAACGTGTAGGGAGAGCCCCGGGACCGGCAGCTAACACTCGGGGGAATCAATTGTCAGTGGGGCAATAAAAAAAGAAAGCTAAACCAGATACTTCATGAAAAGCCTACAATTACTGGTGTTACGTATATAGACTCGAAGAGCCATTTTCTAACTCAGACTCCACAGAAACACAGCAAAAACCTCTTCCTCCGCAGAGGCCACACACTGCCTGTGCAAGCGTGTGTTACACAGAGCTCTGAGGAAAACACACAGCTAGGTGTTCGTACTGAAATGAGAACCCGTCCCCAGCTGCCAGGAGACCTACACAGCTCCTCATTGAGAAAGCTGCCACCGTCACACTTCCTCCTGAAGGGCAGAGAAGTGTTTTACGTGAGGATCTGCACCACCGAATTACTTGTGGAAAACACTACTACGGAGTCACTTGAAACGCATACTGACCAGCTCCCCTAACAGACCCTGCTCGCAAAAAACCACCTGTGAGCAAGCCCACCTGCAGTCCTATTTAAGAGTTAAATTCCAGGTATGTTCACATCTTACAGCAAATATTCTCTCTTAAATGCAGTTATTAAACAAGCCGCTGAGTATTTCCTACTCGGAATCTTCTTGTCCATGTAAGGTAAATGCAATACCAAGCAAAGCGAAAAGTCTAGTTCAGCTTCAATGTAATTCTAGAAATTTACCCAGCAACCAAGTTATTTTTGTGCATAACATTTAAGTAACACTAGGAAGAAAAAAAAACCCCACAGTGATTGATCCTCTAACCCTTGAGAATGAAGCAGCTTTCATACACACTGAAATACTTCCTTCCATACTGTCCTCTTGCTATACAGACTTGTGGATGGATCCTTCTACCACGTACTCAATTTTCCCTCTAGGTTGTATCTCAGAATTTTTATTTTTATTCCTGTTTTAAAGCATGCCAGCTCCCCTCCTCTTTCCTTCCCTTTAATGCCAACAGTTGAGCACTTGGTTAAAGCTCCCGTCGTACTGCAGAATAAATAAGTCTAATCAGTCACACCGACAAATGAAAAAGGGACGACTGACTTCAAAAGAAAAAAACCCAACAAACCAGCATGCATGCAGTTGTACTAAACATACTTGTAGTATTTTAATAAAGAGCAACAAAAACTAATTACCTTGAATAGCCATTAGAGAAAGCAGGTCTGCCAGAAAGGTTGAGCGTTCCCAAAGGAGCTAACGTCTCATCCCCTGATCCCTGGCACCTATTCCAATTTTCTGAACTGGCAGGAAGAGATGGAATGATATTAAAAATTGGTTTCTGATCCTGCTGCTGAGAGAGTGATGCAGTATTTAAATCATAGTGATACATTTGTCCCCCAGAGGTACTGACACCGTGGATAGAAATGGCAGAGACTTTAGTACCCAGCAGATTAGACCCAGAGAAGTTTGCCTGACAGTAAATTGGGCCCATGTTTTCTTGCTTTATGCCAGGAGTACAGAGTTCAATGAAGTCTTCTTTTTCTGTTTTCACTTGAGGCATTGGCATTTTGGAACTGGGTAAAAGGTCACCACGGTCATTAATTTTAGGTTTAGTGTCAGATAAAACAGGAGGCTTGCAGTCTTCACCGAGGTTTCCTTCCAGGAGAAATGCATCATCTGCAGATATAGGGGACAGCAAGCCACCCTCATCGAGCAACGGGTCAAGCCTCCACGGGCTCCCATTGGGCTCTTTGCCAGGTGATACCGGTGGCAATTCTAAATCCTGGAGAATATCCAGGGTGCTTTGGTCTTCAGAGAATAACTTCAAGTTGCCACCATTCGAGCCGACCTGGCTTTGGACTGCAGTTCCTGTCTCTAAAGGGACGCTGCGGCCAGCCATGCCTGGGAAATCCGGCTCAAGCGGCACCTCAGAAGATCCTGCTCCCTTTGCGTCCTCGGCCAGGCTCGAGGACTTGTTCAAGCTTGCAATACTTTCTTCCAGGAGCCTGAAGTCCGTTTCTCCAGAAGACATGCCGATTTGGCCCTGCTGCGAAAATCCAAGGTCATTTCCCATCACTTTTGCATCTGTTTCACCCATGTACAGTCCCATCGAGAGCGACACTGCCTTGGAAAGGTCTGGCTGAGGCACATTGTTTACTAATCCTTTTGAAAAGTCAGCCAAAGCAGGTTGCTGATTGGAATCCGACTGAGAAGACGTGGGGAGAGGAGATGTAGACACAGGGGCTTGTACAGTAGCTCCACCCCTGAAGGGTGGATGAAAGTCCATCACGATCCCTCCTTTGGTACTGATGAGCACATTTTTCCTTGTTTCGTCTTGATCCGACGACTTAAGCAATTCTTTGGAATCCATTACTGTAACATTAGCTATAAAAAGATCAGAAGCATTCAAAGTTAGCACAGCAAGGATATTTTAATAACAACTTAAAAAGAAAAAAAAGTCTAAATCATTAGCCTGGTGAACCTGATTTAGCTGCTCTGAGAATGAAAGCACAGCAGATCAAGCTACAAACTGACTGACATGCGTCACAAATCCACTGGTTTGGGGGTTTTGTTTTTATTTCTGATTGGTAACAAGGAAGTATATTTTTTTAAAGCTTTGCTAAACCTGAACGAAGTGGTAAGTTTGCCTGCACGCAACTCAGAATCAGACAACAGCACAAGACATCTTTCTGAACACCCACTCTAGCTCTGTTGCCCATCCTAGCAAGTAAGGAAGCATAGGAATTGTTAAAAGTACCCAATTTACAAATTTTGGAAGACAGCTTTCCCTGGTATTGAGTTACATCTGAAGCAGAGGAGGGGAGAAGGGCATTTATCACCCTTCCCCAGCCAGATCACTTCTCTCCCTGCAGGTTCAGATGCTTCGGCCACAACAGGTACCGGAGCCTCCCGAGCCCGCGCAGCCGCGGTCCTACCAGCCCGGCAAAATCTCGGTGGTTTTTTATTCTCCACACAACCTCCCCCCCACACAACACCAAGTTTGCTATCTTCGCATAAGTTCAGCTTAAAACGCAACTCGTGACTCTTGAAGTAAACTCAGCGCAACTCCTTAAATCAACCTCGAATTTATAAATAAAAGCTAACCAAAGATAAAGCAGAACTTTAGTTAGCTACACCTTACCAGCTCACAGCCACTCTCCAAACACATCTAACAAATCTCCTAAATTTCATCAGTTCGTATTGACTACCTTTATCTTCAGCACGCAGCATAAATATTTGGAGAATAACTGTAAATTCTTACGCAAACTTTCTATACCGTCTGTCTACGGCCTAACAGCAACAGCCACGGGCTCGCAGTCCCCCCAGCCCGGCAGAGCTGCCCCAGGTACAGCCTGGCCGCGGAATTACCCACCAGGCAGAGACCCGAGAGTGCTCACAAGTTTACGGTCCTCTTAATTATAAACCCGCCGTCTCTGTCGCCCATTTTCTCCAGACTGCCGCCGACCGCTGCTGCTTTCTGTATGCCAAAGTTAAGGCTGCGATCAACAGAAAGTCCCCACGTGTAAAAAAATTTAAGGTGGCCCCAGCGAGCTTCGGCCTGGGTAAAGCGTCCCGAGCGGGAGAAGCCCGACGCGAAAACCCTTCTGGGTCCTTCGACACGTCCCGGTGCGGGCCTTGGCGGGCCCCAGCCGCGGGGGCTCGGGGGTGAC